TTATAATATTAGTTAGGATAAGTTTGAATATGTTATCGATTAACAAAAATATTAACTCAATTAATCATGTGATTATTTAACATGCTTTACGTTAATAATTTTTGTAATATTAATTCTCATGCAACGCGAAAGTCTTAAAGTTTTATAATCATTATTAACTTGGTTCGCGTTCTATTAAATGTTCGTCAAATGTCGCGTGACTGGTCGAGTTGGCTGCTTTCTCAAATAAAGTTCCCTATATATATAATTAATTGTAATAAAGTCGAAATAAATGAATGAAATTAATTGTTTTTATATCAAACCTGTTGTTGAATTAGCTCGATGTTAAGAAATTGTTACGTGTTTTTTTATTTTATAATATAAATTAGGTTACACTAATTCCGAGTGAATTTCGTAATATGTTTGTAATTTCGTATGAGTATATGAAAAGTGAGTACATACGATTATAGTAAATAACTATATCTATATATAATGTGACTGTAGAGGTGTGAATTGAATCGATTGACACACTTACAGCCAGTGTGCATTAAGTCAACATAATGTTAAGCCGCGTCGTAGTGGCTGTTTAAAGAAATGTTGCATTGGAATGTTACACGGCAAAAATATGCATTCGGGTCGCGTTCTTGTTTATTTTGAGAGGATTTCTAGTTTGGTGGCTCGGTTATATAACCACGGTTATATGAATTGAGAGTTTAAAACTTATTTTATGCTAAACAAAATATTTTGTGATATAGAAACTGAGGAAATAAAAATTTTCAGTTTTAAAACAACACTTGCGTTATTCTATTACTAAAACAGGAATATTTTATTGTATCGTATAAAATATGTCATTTAATTAATATTTGTATATTATACCCATTAACTACATATTATTGATAGTCTTTTAAAAACCTATTTTTAATATTTTTTATGAAAAACTACTTAGGACTTAACTAATTAATTGTAGAATATTTTACGCAGCCTTATAGAATTTTAAGCAAATAAATGTCTTTATGCAACAGGATGTAATCTGTTATTTAACATCAATTAAATCAATATGTCAAAATGGCCATTGTGTCATTTCCTCTTCAGAATCAAGTCGCTGTAGCTTCTGATAAACTTTATAAACTCTCCGATGATTAATTATCACTAAATGTCTTTATGGCAAAATGATGACTGTGATAAAATTATTGAACTAAAATTTCCTTGTGCCAGTAGATATTTATACAATTTTAAAGTAAGGAATCTTCAAATCTTAGCACGTATTGGGATATCTATAATTCAATGAATTATAACATAGTCGAAATTTTCTGTTGTTAGCTTAAAAATGCACACTCGGTGTAAAGTTATTATTTAATTTTAATACTGAAATAATTAGATCTAACGCTTAATAATTTTGAGGAATTTAATGTTTTTTTTTATTACCACAACCTCCGATCCGTTATTAGTAGTCAACTCATATTTAATTAACGTGATTTATTATTATTTGTAACCCCCGACACACGATGAGAGATGTTATAAGAGCGATTTCGATATCTTTTTTTACTTGTGTCTGTCTGTCTGTTTCATTGTTTCATCATAGCTCGAAAATTGATCAACCGATTTCGATGTGGTCTTTCGTTTTGAAGCCAGTTTCCTTCCAGGAGATCTTAGCAAAGTTCGGTTAATATCAGTGCAGCAGTCTAAGAAAATCGCCTCTTTTCCTAACTACATCAGTTAATTAAAATTTTTCTGGTTCTTACTCTATTAAGAGTTTCAAATAATAATAGAAATAATAATTAGTTTTTAATCATACTTTCGAAAATAAATGTGTTGTTTTTTTTATTTAATAAAAAAATGTTAATTTCAAAACAAAAACATGCGGTGAAGGAAAACATCGTGAGGAAACCTGGACTTATAGTTTCACAATTATAAATTTGAAATCACCAACCCGTCTTGAGCAAGCGTGGTGATTAATGCTCAAACCTTCTCCATTTGAGAAAGAGGCATTTGCTCAGCAGTGGGCGTCTGATAGGCTGATGATGAAAACAAAAACATTTTAGAAATTTTAACATAGAGACATTTTACAATTTGTTTTTGTCGTAAACTATAACAAAATATTGTTATTAAAATCCAATTATGTTATTCGCGATACTTGAAAGTAATGTGTACAAAAAAATAATTAAAGAAAACATAAACAGTAGTATTAGTGTATAGCATCGCAGACTGATTTGTTTAGTGAATTGAACGAGGTGTTTTATGTTATGCTTCAATGAATACTACGCGCTAGTACACTCGACAGGAATGTTTTCATTTAAATAACATACAGTGAAGTATTATTTTAATAAATAATATATAAAATTGTTATCTATATTATGAGAGCGCCTTTAATATAATATTCAACATATTTGTGATTTTCTGTCTGGGTAGATATTTTTCTTTGTTAGAATAATAAATGAAGGAACAACTTTTGGCTACATACGTAGCTTTTTGCAAGTTGTTGTTTTGTTATACTGTATATAAAAGATGGGAATAGTATATATATATGTAGACAGAATTGTAATATCCGTACAGAAAGATATAGATTCATTGGTAATGGTATTGACTTTGGTAAACACGTCTGACTTGTTGAAATAGTAAATGGTAGGAACATTTGAAATTTTTATTTTATTTTTATATTTTATACAGTAATAAAATCCAGTAGCCAGAAGCGTCGGGCCATCGATTTTCTTATTGGCGCGTCAGGTGGAAATAGCTCTTTTCGGACCATTGCAGCCATGCTCACTGCAGGACTACTATGATAGAATAAATCGAATCCTCTTGAATGAAAAGATTTTGGACTGTGAACATTTCATTGGATTTCGTTGCTACCCCACGTCCCGTAATGGTATATTATGTTATCTTATACCATCTAGTTTTCTATTGATAACAAACTGTATTGATTTTTGTTGGTGATTGAACTGTATTATAAGTTACAATTATTAAAAAATATATTAAGAAGTTCCTGTATTTTCTATAGATGTGGATGTTAATAATAACACTATATTGTCTTTAACTTCATAATTAAAATATTAACCAAAATCTTATAAAGAGATTTCGAGCGAAAGCCATGCACACTTGTTTCGTCTATTATAAAAGGATTTGTTAAGTGTTTACGTAATGATACAGACCATCATATTTTACAATAATACAGTTTTCATTGTAATTTTAAACATACATACATCATAAAGGAAATAATTCTCCTTCGTATGATTTACTTCATATATTATTTACACGTGTACAGTATGTTCCCAGTCGGATATTGAGCTGTTATAGCGTCGTCGGGCTCGCTCTGTGCCTTTCCGATATGACGTAAATGGGATGTTTTGTGCATATAACTACGTGATTGAAAACAGCTAGCTAACTTTATACTGGCCAGACTGACGAAGGATTTATTAATATATATAAGGGGATAGAGTTTAATTGAATTAAATAATAGTGTTATCGTATCTAATATGACATTATATTGAGTTGTAATAGTGTTGTTTTTTCCCTTAAGAGCTTTTTTTTGTGTGTATTGTTTGCTTTTTCAATTTGTTTCTGCTACGGACATTCATTCAGTCTATAAACAATGCACTTTAATAGTGTGAATGACAACGAACTCCTATCGGCTGTAAAGCCTAAATGGCCATAAATTTCGGCTCCAATGGTCGCAGACGATTTATGATACCTACCAATAGAATTCCCGCAAAACCAGATTTCAAACTCAATAGTTTAAATCGAAATGTTTATCTGGCAAATATTGCACAGTTGACTTGAACAAAATTTTGAACAGTCATTGAAATTTTTGTTTCTCAATAACGATGTTTACTCTGAATATGGTAAGCGATGATTGCGTTTGTTAGCAAAATAAACTTTAATTCCATTTTTTTTTATATAAGAATAATCAGGTTTGAGATACAAACTTAGGATTTACATAAATGAAGTAGTAGGTAATCTAATATATCTGATACTTTAAGGTGTGATGTCGAGTAACACTGAGCTTAAATTGAACACTGATTGTATTAACAATAAGGCGTTGGTGTTTGGCCATAGTGTTTTATATGTATATACAATATACATATTGTAATTATTATAATATTACGATGAACAAACCATAGTTACTAGTCACGCGTAGGCATCGCCGAATGTCGGTTGCACATACATTAATAAGTACCATAATAAATTTTTAATTCGTTAATCTTCTTAATAGCATAATATTTATCTATGGGCGTTTTGGTTTGAGTGCCATCCAAAAAGATTCAATTAAATTCTTTCCGAATAGGCGTATAAGAAAGACGTTATACGAATAAGTGTTAAAGTGACGTGAATTTGAGATCAGATAGCCATATTTGTTCCATATCCATTCATAGTTTATTTAAATTTAAAACCAGTATTTTCCGTCGTGTAGTATAATTGTCGAATGTGGACTAGGTAAAGAAGTCTCTCTATGTATAATATATGTGGGACGCGTTGCCTAATGTCGTACGGTTATAAGAGCGCGTGTGTTCAATGTAGATGTGTTTGTTGGTAGTGTATTCAGTTCACGATATTCACGGTACCTCGGCCGGTGACACTACGGGACCGTCCACCCGAAGCCATTGACAGCGTGGACGCTACAACGAATATAAATGCTGGCTTCATACATTCATAATGATAAATCAATGATACAATAGTGTTGGCAATTGAAATAATTTATAGTTTTATTCCTATGTAATATAATTCTTTTGCATATACTAAAAGGTGATTTTTTGTTTCAATTTGAAGTGCTTCGAACTTTATCGTAGGCATAAAAAATTTTAGGCACTTTATTGTTCCTCTTTTGTTGATAATATTTTTATCGTTTGAATAATTTTGGTATATGTTAAAACGTCTATAAATAAATATACTCAGATGTAGCTGTCGTGTTATAGTCATCAGTAGTTGCTATTAATGAAAGCGACTGAAATTATATCCAGTAAGAGCAGAGCATCGTTCAATCTGATGTTGTGTGGCCAAGCACCGTGACGGTGGTGCGGCAGCTGATGCTGCACGGTTCGCTGGTTCTGGCCCCCCTCCCCCCGGCCTGCGCACCCTGGGCCCCCCTCTCTCCCTTGCGAAAAGTCATAATGCAATTGCCAGGACGGCCGATGTGGAACGCTCAACGACCACTACCATCACGCAACCAGTCCGCACTCAAATGCGTTGTAACTCACACGCCATCCAGCACGATGGATTTGTCCAGGCGAGATTTCTCTTATGGTGCTCGGTGATGTGGAAACTAGTGATCGTCAAGTTACCATTGGATTCGTACATTCAGTGACGTGAACTCGTTACTAGTTTTGATTTAGTCTCTAAAGCCTAATCGTTACAATGTTGACTTGTATGTATTCGGTTTTCGCTTTTTCTAATGTATGGTACTAATTTTTGTATGTAAACTGACCGACTTAGTTGTGGCAGTTAAAAGTAATCTTTATAGTAGTTCAAATGGCTTGAATTTCATTAGTTACCTTTTTCGTCGAAACAATTGTTCATAAACTGCGAATTAATTCCTGACACGTCTCACCAGCGTCCGGTGGCTGATGCTTTCCAAGTGTTGCATGGTTTCGATCAGTCTTTTAAAAGCTACAAGTCGTCGGGGTCGTTCGGCGTCTTTCGCAATATACAGTGTTAATTAAACAGTTCGATAGTACGTGATTAATATCGAATAATTATCAGGCATAATGATAACATTAATTAAATATTAGAATGTCAGTTCAGTGCGTGATCGACTTTCGTGTTGTAAGGTGAAATGCGTTCCATAGTGTAAATAAGTGACAAGTGTTTGTTATAAAGAAAGCAAAAAATGTGGGGTGCTGCAGTGTCAAATCCACCTCACTATCATTATATTCAGTCAAATTCGGGGGGTCAAATTCCCCAGCGTGGTCCATCAGGGCCTATTTTATCCGGACCTAACGCGAAGCATTTAAGACCTCAGTCATCGTATTCTTTGCCACATGGCAGCAATGGTCCCGGTCGATGGAGCTGGTCCGGTAGCAATTCTTCTTCTTTTGATAGAAGACAATTGAAGGTACCTCCTCAACCGGCTAGACCAGCACCTGTCAGACCTGGAAATAATAGAACTAACAACAATGTAAGTTTAATATTATACCGACAGGTTTCACATACCGCCGACACACACCCACCGTATATACATAATGATAATTAGGTAGCTATTTCCACTATAGCTGCTTAAATATATAGTTTAAATTGTTTCAAGGAGAGTTTCAGTTTTTAAATTTTTTTTTAATTATTTAATGATAAGATAGATTTATCAAGCTTGCCCTTCACAATTTTGTTTTGTAAACAAGTACCTTATGAAAGAAAATTATAAAATCAAACGTCATGTAATTTTTATTCCTTAATATATCATTAAACATCTTATATTTATTATGGGTATTAATTCTCGTTCTGAAAAATAAACTGTTTATTAATTTCACTTTGATTTGTTTCAAATCTAGTTAAAAAAGGCTCTGAGATTTTTTTTTAATCGAAACATTAACAGATTAATATTTTGTATATAATTTATTGTAATAAAATTTTCCGTACGTGTTGTTATGTGTAATTATAATGTCATTGAGCGTGTGTATTCGTCTAGTTTTCGTTTCCGTCTCGCAATGCGTGTCGGATGTCGCTGAACACTCGCCATCCGACACGATTGCTTTTCTAATATTCAACCAGGTACATATGTGACTTGTATCCTTCATATTCTATCTAAAGTCAGTACTTAGAAGACAGCAATTAATATTGATTATACGTGTAAAGTAAAAACTTCATAGAGCGATATGTACTGAGGGTATCTTTAGTCAGAAACAAAGGTTTTGTCCCAAAATATTTGAATGAAAAATAAAAAAACATTTCAAATGGAGTCCTTTAAATAGGAATTCTTTTAACAGAAATAAAACAAAATCCATATGTAAGTCTTACAAACGAACAAAGTCTCGTTAAAATTAAAATTATTCTTAAATTTTTCACTCAGCGGTTTTATTTTTAAATGTTCGTTCTTTTGTAATTTATATAAGCCTTGTAAAATTTCATCACAAAACTGCGTAATATTTTGAAATTTCTTTAATGCCGTCATGCAATAATATTCCTATAACAGTTATATTTGCAATAATAATATTGTGTTGTTATTAACAAACCACTAATTCGCATGACTCGAGCTATAAAAAAAAATAATATATTACTTTCATTGGGAACTGGTTTAGCTGTGAAGTGGTTTAGATACGGTCGGCAGGGGAGTTTATTAACTATAAGGAGTAAGTAATTTAACATTTTCTCCTAGTTAAATAATTAATTCCTTTTCTATCGCAAATATAACTTTCATAAATCCTATAAAAATTAAATAGAACACTATATTGAATATCAGATAAATAGTTCAGTACGTTATTTAATGAGGCTAGAAAGAAATCACATGTCTTGGAACCCATGTCTATATATATGGAGAAGCAAGACGATTGCGTATTTGACGAAACATGTATGTTTACTCGCGTTTATGTAATAGGAATTTGCGGATTGTAGGCCTTTAACTTATACTACGAGTATTTGGAATGTAGTAACCAAGCATATTTTTACGATGTCGCAATTACAGCAGACAATAATTACAATTTTTAAATAAATTGCCATCGATTCATTTAATATTATAACAGGTTTAATAATTGATTTTATTAAATAAAATATTAAAAGCAAAAGTAGTTTCTGAAGTCATGATTTATTTTTATCTCTGACGTCTATGCGTTGTAGATAAGATTATAAAAGAAGTATGTGAAATACCAATGTTACTTAAATCATACAAGATATATTTTAACATATCCGTCGATTATGTTATAAACTAATATATTTTACATTATTAATATTCATTTAGAAGATGATTGTTATTAAACATTATTTTTCATACATTTTTTTATTAAGTAGCCTTCCATTCATTCATAATACATAATACATATTCTTGTATTAGTTACAATAATAATCAGTTGTATATGAATGGTGCAATTATTACAGTATAAAAAAAGAAATATTCTATTCACAATATATTATTAATTATTGCTGGTAGGGAATAAATATTATTATTAAATTCATATCTCCCACGTTTCATTAAAAAAAAATCTTATTATAAAAATTCGAAATATAATTAAAGAATCCTTATAAATCATTTAAATGCTTACATTAAAGAAACTTATACACAAACAAATACCATTTCAATTTTGTTTGCGGTTGTATTGCAACTGACTGATATGTGGATAGAATTCATAAACTTAGTCGTGTATTCTTTGTGCAGTTTAAAAAATTCGTTTCGTTAAGTCTCACAAAGCTAGTATTTAATCTTGGTCAGTCGTTATCCGATTCTGCTGGTTCCCATTTTTAATTAAAATCTGTACATCGTCTGTGCAGCGATGGTAGGATTGCGCCTGTGCTTCTATTAACTTTTTTTTTAGGTCGGATATAATTGACTTTTTTCTAAATTTCGCAACTTCGTACCGGACTCAATAAACGCTTTTGTAAGCGTCGAGCCTCACTCTGCCATCCCCTTTGGAGATACGGGCTGAATTTAAAAGAGGAAATAATGTCGTTACCGTAAAGTAAAGTACTTTTATACATGCCTTAAATCAGAAATCATTGGATATTTAGTTCTCAATATTGTGATCTGTAATCTTACAGAAAGATCACTTTTTTAACTAGTTTTGATCAGTAAATAAACCAGGTAAAATATGCCACTTGTTTTAAACCTCTCAACTCATTTCGTTTTATCTCACCGCACTATGATAAAATATATTTTTAACACACTTTTTACATCGATATTGTCTAATCAGAATAGTTATATCATTTCTATTAGCACTCACGTGTATTAACACATGTATGTGAAGTTATTTTTAATGTCTTTGTGCAATCTTCGTTGTTATGTTTGAGCCCTTACATTGTAGTTACAATATACGTATGTCCGGTGAATTCAAAATGTATGTAAACTGGCGCATACATGAATAATCCGAAAACAATTTACGGCGATGTTAGGTAAAATTTTAATAACAATCAATTTTTCACGCGGTGCTTGGTATGTGTATTGGTAAGAGTGTCACGTAGCGAGCTTCGAGCCTTGACTCCACAGCAATGTCAGCCAAATGCCAGGAGTTCTTGACTCTCGGATTCAGTATGACGAGTATAATACTGCTTTTAAATTGATTATAATATTAATGAAAAACTTATTAATATCGGATGTCAGAAAGTTTACTCAAAATGCAAATTAAACGGTCTTTTTTGTAGGTACACGATGATTCTTGATGTAATCCTTGTAAATAGCAATATACATCAAATTCTTATCCATAAAAATAATATTACTTGTTTTTTGCTATCTGTAATTAATTTTGTCAAAAACAGCTTGTTCAATACGACTACTTGGTCCTTATCTTAATCCTATTGGTGTGACATTAATTATGATTATTCTGAATAAATTGAAAAATTATGATAGGATAGATACGAGATCCATTCGATTTCTAATAAAAATAGAACAATCACTGACATGACTTAGTCTAAACGATAAATTATTTTTACTCGTAAATTAAGACAGTAAGATATTTAAATATCATTCTTATAGATATCCTGTTAAGGTATATTTTTTATTTAAATCATCTCCGTCTCTTTCGCAGAAGGTCGATCCTGAGCTGATCTTCACAAAACAGGAGAAGATCGGCAAGGGTTCCTTTGGTGAAGTCTTCAAAGGTGTCGATAACAGAACACAGCAAGTGGTCGCCATTAAAATAATTGACCTCGAGGAAGCCGAAGATGAAATCGAGGACATTCAACAGGAGATTATGGTGCTGTCACAGTGTGATAGCCCATACGTTACCAAATATTACGGATCATACTTGAAGGTGAGTCCATAATAAATAATTATATACTACGATATGTTATATCATTTCACATCGAAAGGATGTTTTATAATAACTTGTACATTACACTCATAGCGCAAAGATAGTAGCCATAAAGCGAATATTACATTAGCCACAAAACGTATATTATACAGCGTGTTCATCAATCACTGTCCTCACTTGTTTATCAGCCTTTTTTAGACACGGATCGAACGTAATGGTATCCATTATCTAGTGTGCTCTAAAAACACCATATATAGTGATTTTTTTTACCACTAATGTTGATAACGTCTTGTCCTATAACTTATTTCACATTGTAATAATCAATATTTATTGACACTGTTGGTTGTTATATTGAAATGTTCATTACAGTAATTTTGTGGCAATGCCGTATCTTTTGTAATTGTACGCCCACGTTGGTTTTACCAGGTCTAGGTTATCTGAGCCGCTAGTCACAGGGTCTAGAGTTGCGAAATTTGTTTTAATTAAATATATGAATATTATACAATAACACAGACGATGGTGAAACTTGATAATTACTTCAAACTACTGTTTCTTGTCATGTTATGCGGTTTTATGTAAAGTATGTATTCCGCGATAAAAGGAACATGATTTTATTTTGGTAGGTATTATATAACTGACGAAAAAGATGACCGACACATGTTATAAAAATCACTAAATACAATGCCGCTGTAACAGAAATGTATTAAATAAATTTTAACCAATACATTCACACTAAGTAAGATTAGTCAGTTGCCATTAAACTATGAATGTAGTTGCAAAATTTACAATAGGAATACATTAATCACGGCCTCATTGCAATTCTTATCTGGCACGATGAACGCCGTGATTTTATGTGGATGATTTCGTAAATGGCATTGAAACGCTATTGAGTTCCTCGTCCGTGTTCTTTAGAAAGTAAACGTCTTACTGCTTCCTTATTTAATATACAAATAATAATTATACATTTCATATATTCTAGTGTTTCAGTTTTTTTTTCGTTTTATTTATATAAAATTGATGATTATGCAGAAGTTGTATCAGAATTATAAATATGTAGTAGTTGAATACTTATACAGCCATGGGCAAAAATTTTAGGCACCCTACAGTAAGACAAGTTTTAGGGTGTTTTAGCATAGCGAGTGTAAATAAAACTGCATTTATGATTACAATGGTTTATTTTAAGAAAATAATTAATATTTTGTAAGTCCACCTTTTGACTTAATAACCGCAGCCACTCTTTTTGGCATTGACTCTACCAGCCTGAAACATTCTTCTCTTGATATATTTTTCCATTCCTGCTGTAACGCGGCCAATAGAGCTTGTTTATTGCTAATCGAGTGCCTGCGGATATTTTTCTTTAAAATGGACCAAATATGCTCAATCGGGTTGAGGTCTGCTGATTGTGGTGGCCAGTCCAAAAGATCAATATGATTTTCAGTAAACCACTTCATGGTATGCGCGGACTTGTGGCAAGTGGCGTTGTCTTGCTGAAATTTCAGGCCATCGGTGTTTGTATCACCGAAAATTTGCGTTATCGACGTTGCTAGTGCTGTTTCCAGAACTTCAGTGTATTTAACACTATTCATTCGTGCCTCACACAACACCATCTCGCCCACTCCGTCGGCAGCCATGTAGCCCCAGATCATTATTGAGCCTCCACCATGCTTAACAGTGGGAACCACACATTCTGGGTTGTATTCTTCGCCAACCCTTCGCCTAACATAAGTCACACCGGGTGTTCCAAACACCTATGCCAAACGAAAAAAAAAACATTTATTTTCAAAGTTATTATTTTTTTTGCAGTACGTTATTTTAAAAACATTTATGTGTTTTAATATTGTCCATAAAATAAATAACAATACCTCAAAGTTAGATTCGTCTGACCACAGTATGTTGGACCAATCTTCCACTGACCAATCTCTATGTTTGAGTGCCCACTCCAACCGATTTTTCTTATTGTGCTCCGACAGCCACGGCTTCTTCCTTGCTTTACATCCTTTTAATCCAGCTTTAAGAAGTCTTCTTCTCACAGTATAAACACTCACTTAGCTGCCTTTTGCCTCAGATAATGCTGCAGCGAGCTCTGAAGTAGTTTTTTTCCTGTTTTGTAGAGACTGCCTAATCAACAATCGATCTTCTCGTTTAGTAGTAACTTTTCTTCTGCCTGTTCATGGTCTATTTTCATGGGTGCCAGTCTCTTTGAAGCGATTTATAGCATATTGAACTGCACATCACGAGCACTTCACTTCTCGGGCTATTTTAACCTGAGACATGCCTTGTTCATGTAAAATCTTAATTCTTAGACGCTGTTCAGCACTAAGTTCAGATTTTTTCGGCATGACTAACACGTTAAATGTTAGTCTTTAGAATTGTGATAGGAATAGTTGCGTAGAAGACGTGTATGTTCACTGCAAGCACTGATAACACACTATAACCCGAAACGCAAAAAAAGCAAATTCGAAGAAACACCGCTTAGGAGCACACCTGGATGTCATAAATATTTTCTTTTATCTTAATTTGGTTAAAAATTGCCGCTAATACAATAGCTAAACCATAAAACACACACTTGACCGTTATCTAATGAGATAGTGACTAACAATAGGGGTGCCTAATACTTTTGCACGCAGCTGTATTATTTCTCAGTAGATTTTTTTGCTTTATAATTATTTTTTTTATTAAATCCTGAGATCAAAACAAAGAATAAATTTCGCCTCAATTCAATAAGTGTCCGATCTGGGGATTTTCGAATTGAATTTCAAATGGAGCGGTCGAAAATATCTTATTGTATGTTATGCGGAAGATGTAATAATTTTTGATGTATGTATATAACGCTTCTCGGTTCGTGAATAACATCGTTTTCATAAATATACTGCAATCTTGACACACTTTCGAATACTGCTGTTGAGTGCTTTGCAATACTCGCCTCAATGTGTGGCGAATCACATGAATTTGAAATAGGTGTGATTTAAAGTAAATAATGTCGTATTTTACTAGCCGAGATGAGGATATTTCTGATAACAACACTCGAAATCCCTAGTCTTCTTATATAGGAAGAAGACGTTTAAATTACTGTGTAAAATTTTGCCATATTGATGTAAATAATTTTTCAATGTTTTTTTTTGGGTTTCATCAAGTCCGTCTGTCTGTCTTTTCTATTATTTTCTACTTATATGTTATAAGACTAATTAATAAATAAAAATTATTACAATAACAACATACGAGAATCTTTCTCAATCACTTAAATAAAATATTTCGATTGGAATTTAAGAAAAATAAAGTATATAATTTTGTACTGAAATACATTTAAGGATACACGTACCTACTAAAGAAAAGTAATTTAATTATACCTTAAAAAAAGTATATAAATTTCATAAAATCAATATTGAAACTGTGTATAAGTTATGAGAGAATATAAAACTACACTGAATATAATGTAGTCATTAATTGTAAACAGATAAGGCACTGCTATTACTACTCGAGCTGTTAATGAACTTTGTCATTAAATTAACTAATTTGTGGCAATCATAATAATATTCAAAACAGACGAAGAATTATGACATAATAAAAGATATACATTACATAGAACAATGTGGAATGTAAAGTAACAACGTGTCCTTCAAACGTTTTCGTCATACGTAAATCTTGGCTAACACTAGTCACATATTTGAATAATATTCAAGGTGTTTGTATAATACCAATATTAGCATAAAACGTACATATATCTTCAAACATTTAATACTATTGCACGGTATACGAAATTTTCTTAATGTTTTTTTTAGTAATTTAAAAATTCTTCTCAATTAAAATGTGTTCATGTATCTTGAGATAGTTACCTATTGTAAAAGTCTTAAGATTTTGCCGTATAGTAATGTATAAAATGTGAAATGTGATGTGTTGCCTACGCAAGTTTATAACGATTTAAGGGTAGATATTTTTTTTCACGTTTACAGTTAATATGTGCGACAGTAAAGCCGTTATACGTCATCGTTGTGTGAGCTTAAACGTGACGTAGGTTAGTGAATAAGAAGTCACATACAACCTTCAAACCATAACTGACAGTTTACAAAGTTATATTAAGAGTGGCGATCAATTTGATTTCAAATTAATTAGTAGGTGTGATAATTAAACAGATATGTTTTTGATTAGCGAAGTAATTAATAAAATATTTAAATTAGCTTAACATAACTAGTAGTGTATTTGCCTATTATCAATCTGAGCTGTTTATATTTCACATTTAAGTTGTAAAAATTCATCAATGGACTAAAAATTATATAGTCCGTATGATACAATATATAAAATATTTAGCAGGTAACAAAAGTAACGCGGATGTCGAGGTGAAGGACGTTTGTGACTCATCGGACTTTTAGCCTTAAGGAAAAAGTTTAGAGAATGCTCACGCACGGGGGCAAACACCTACTACGAATGGATTTTATGTACCCAATACCATATACGTGAATAATGGGTTTGTTTTTCAGATGAGGCTGTTCCGTCACAGTCCTATTACAATGAAATAAATGTCTTCTTAACATTTCGACTGTTATTATAGCTTGGGAGTTTAATTAAAGACGCGAAAATACATTAAGCGGAGACCGAGCTTTTGTTAGATAGGACCGCTGGCGATGTTTCGCTTTTTATTAATTTTTTTACGATGTATTTTCACTTTTATATATTAAGAGAAATAATAGATCCCCTGATTTTACTTATATTATCATATTTTATTGTTCTATTTCCATACTGTAATGTAAACGTTACATTCCTCAAATAGCTTGTACGTAAACAAACATATTAATTAAACGGTCCATTCTAGTAAATTACACGGGAGATATATCTCCTTATACTCACAAAGTTTTCTTATTACAGTATCGTAAAAGTGCTATTTCATTAATTTCTTAAATTGCAACCATGAAATTTCTTTCAATAAAACTTGTACTAAAATCTGGTGGCAAATTATTTTGGTTGATGATATATTGTTTGTTTTTAAGATGTGTCATATCTTAAGC